AAAAAAAAAAAAAAAAAAAAAAAGCTGGGATTGCAAGTGTTCGATGCTTCTAACCCTTTTAAAGCACTTTATTTTGAGGCAGGGTTTTGATCAATCAGTGACCCACGCTGACCTTAAACTTGTGATCCTCCCACCTCAGCCTCCCGAGTAGCTGAGATCAGAAAGCTGAGCAATCACGCCCAGATTAATTTTTTTTTTTTACCGTTTATTGGTTTATAGTAATTAAATAAAACAACTGGTTTCCTTATGTCATTTTATACATGTGTGTAATGTAATTTGATCATATCCAGGCCCCATTACCTCTTCCTGTCTTTTTCCTGTTTTCCACTGTTCCCAAAGAGATACAAAGTCTCATAAATTTTTCTCCTCTCCTTAAGTCTGGATTCTGTGCATGCATAAATAAATAACTAAATAACTTGATACTTGTTTTTCTGAGTCTGGATTCATGTTACAGGAAGGTCTCTAGTTCCTCCCGTCTTTGTGCAACCCTGATCTCACTCTTTATTATGGTTAAATCATGGGGGTTAAGGAAATAGCTCGATGTTAGAGCGCTTGCATGGTGCTGTCGTCTTACCCTGTCAGAATGGCCAAGATCAGGAAAAATAAGTGCCAGTTCATGCTGGAGAGGATGGGGAGCAAGAAGAACACTCCTCCATCACTGGTGGGAGGGTAAACTTGTATAGACACTATGAAAACCTATATAGGTTTGGGATTCAATCTACCTCAAGACCTAGCTATACCACTCTGGGCATATACCCAAAGTACAATTCATCCAACCGCTAGGACACTTGCTCAGCCATGTTTATTGAAGCTCTATTCATACTAGCCAGAAATTGGAATCAGTCTAGCTCTCTCAATAGAAGAATGGATAAAGAAAATGTGGTACATTTACACAATGAAATATGGTTTTAAAAAAAATTGGCATCATGAAATTTGCAGACAAATGGATGGAACTAGAAAAAAAAATATCCTGAGGTAACCCAGACCCAGAAAAATAAATACGGTATGTATTTATGTGTAGATATTAGCTGTTAGATAAATGGATAACAAAGTTATAACCCATAGATCCAAAGAGGTTAGGCACGGAGGAAAGAACTAGAAGGAACATATAAATATCCCTGACAGGGAGAAATAGAATAGGTTTTGTGGGTGGACTGGGGATGGGGTTGGGGAGATGGGAGGG